ATAATACACTATGACAAATCTCATTTTTAGTAAATAACAAAAAGAAACATGAGAGTTCAAAAACAAAATCTTGATTCATAAAAAAATTTCAAGTATCAATATCGAGAATTCAAGATCATGATATAGATGAAGACATTTTTATAGCAAAAAGATGTCATAAGAGAACACATAAACGATCTCGATTCATGTATAATATCTCTCAATTCATTATGAATCATAAAAATTATAATTCTGAAAAATCATGATTCATTTAGAAAATCTCCTCTTAAGAAAATACCAAGTAGAATCGCTGGAGAATGATTAAAAAAAAAATTTGATTCATAATAAATCTTAATTTATAAATATCAAGGAATTGAGATCATAATTTGGATAAAAAAAAATTATTCAAATTTAAATCATCAAAATCATTTTCATAGTTCAAGAGATTCAAAATAATATAAATATATATTTCAATCTCTTATTCAAAACTCGATAAGATATAGATGTTTCGTTTTAAGTTGTTAGTTTCATATAAGTATGCCTTTGTCTTTTTATGCCAAATAAGAATATGCATCAATCGTTTAGGATCGAAAAATAAATTTCGTCATAAAAACCATCAAGATCAATAAACCATAAATTACCCAAAAATCATCACTTCTTCAAATCATCATGCATAGATTCACATTAAACATGATATCAAACCTCTTAACATTTTCATTAAGATATCAAGCATAGTTTCAATCAAAATCGGAAATCATCAACATACACATTATTTCTTCTTGAAAAAACATACATAGGATTATCATTATATTTAAATCTAACATTTTATTCATAAAACATGCAGTTTTCATGATCATTACTAGAAGGATAAGCATGATTCCTAAAATTTTTATTTTTAGCATTATTCATTACATTATTAAACATGTAATTTTCAAGAAAAATAATTTTTCTAAGCTAAATTAAAAATAACTCATGCAAAGCATCATGTTATTTCGAGATAAACTAAGGGGGTTTCATTTGAGTATTTTACCTCATTGTCGAAAACCGTTAAGGTGTAGTTTGTCATCTCGCCTTTGTTGGATTGTCCTTCATCTTCGGATGAGCTCGTTTCATCTAAGATTGCTTCCTTCTTCTTGCGTTCATAGCAAGTAGTTACGTTCTTTTTAAGTTTATTTTTGTTCTTTAATTTTTATTTTATGAACTTTTTAAATTTCATAGTGAGGAGTTCAAGTTCACCATCATTTAAGCTTATGCTCGAGTGGTCTTCGATTGTTCTAAGTCTAAAATCCTTCCTATTCTTTGGAAGAATATTCTCAGTTCGTTTTGTGCATTGTGCGTCATTTCGTATGTCATTAATGAACCAAAAAGTTCTTCAAGTGAAAAATTATTAAGATCTTTTGTCTCTTGTATTACGGTTACTTTCGGATCCCAATTCTTATTAAGAGAACGTAAAATTTTGTTTACAAGTTCAAAGTCCAAAAAATTTTTACCAAGTGCTTTTAAACCATTGATGACATCCGTAAAATGGGTGTACATGTCTCCAATGGTTTCGCTTTGTTTCATATGAAAAGATTCAAAATCATACATTAAAAAGTTGATTTTTGAATCTTTAACTTTGCTAGTGCCTTCATGTGTGATTTGAAAAGTATACCAAATGTCAAAAGCCATTTCGCAAGTAGAAACCCGATTTAATTCGGTTTTATCTAAGGCACAAAATAGAGCATTCATAGCTTTAGTATTTTAAAAAAAAGTCCTCTTCTCCAAATCATTCCAATAGTTCGAGAAGACCATTGAAAACCAATTTCCACAATACTCCATAAATTTAAATCCAAAGAAAGTAAAAAAACTCTCATTCGAGTTTTTCAATATGTGTAGTCCGTCCCATTGAACAAGGGAGGACAAATGAGAGAAAGTCCCTCTTAATGTCGAAAAGGATCATTTCTCTTAGGTGTTAAACAAAATGAGAAATAACGAGGCTCTGATGCCAATTGTTAGGAAAAGAGTCAGCACTAAGAGGGGGGTAAATTAGTGTAGCGGTAAAAATTACATCGGTTCAAAATTTCATTGCGATTAAATCCATTTCTGACGAAAAACCGTTTCATAAAGGTATTAACTTTGAAAGCATACGGAAGAGTATAGTAGATGTAAAGCAAGTAAAGTGGTTTGTAATAAAGTAAATTGCACAAGAAAAACACAAACCAAATTTTTATAGTGGTTCGGTCGTCGTGACCTATATCTACTTCGCCGATTCCTCTTCCGTCGAGGCCACCAGCATCCACTATCGATTGTCTTTCAATGGGCGAAGATCAACTACCATTTTACACTTCTCTTCTCCTTTTCACAGGTTTAGGAGATAACATTTTATAATCCTCTTTTACAATGTATCCCTCTCACACCTCCCTTAGAACTCTCTCTAAGCTTTGGGATGAGAGAACTCAACTTTCTAAGTTTGTACAACTTTAGAATCACAAGGTTTTGCTTAACCTAAACTTTATGCGAATCTAAACTGATTTAGCAAAACTTGAGCTTGTAATTTAATGTCCATCTTTTACTCCTATGCAACTTATATATCATCATCCTCATGAATGGAGTTTCATATTATTTCTTGATCATGTGGATGATGACATGGTGGAACCGGAAGAGTCAGCAACGCAAGGACTAAAAAGTGTACCCTAAAATTTCATATTGTTCCACATTTGAGCAATCATATCAATATCCAGAATCTCATTGTCAGTGGACAAACCAGCAATCATATATATAACGGCAAATCCTAACTTCCCTCACATGTCAAAGCTATGTTTTCACAGTTGTTAGCAGAAATTTATGTTATCCTTCGACAGAATAATAACCGTTAGTCAGAATTTTTTCTTAAAGGTTAAAAATGTATATTATCCCATTTAGTGAAAAATATACCGGAGAAGCAAAAAGATCAACCATATAGAGCAGGGTTGACACCTTTACACCAAGAAGGCCCACAAAGGAGAAAAAGATTCAAATGGTTATGTTGCCTAAGATTTCAAATGGCTTCGCTGTTCTCTTTGGTTAGAATATGGAACTAGCCCATTTTCAGGCTATAGTTGATAGTGTCAAAAGTAGTCTTATATATGCTTTCAAGCATGACTTTGCTAAGTTAGACCATCTTGTGTGGTTAGATTATCCTTTATAGTGTATTATTCACTAAATTCCAGTAATTATTGTAACAAAATTCATGAAAAAGTAGCTATTCTTCGGATAGTCTTTAGGACTGAATGCAATTTTTTACTGGTTTGATGTTGCGAGCTGTGCTTAAAGCCCATCTTTCTGCTCTAGGAACAGGACCATATAGGAATCAGAACTTATTATGAGATCTCCGAGGGACACTTTATATTCCAGCATCAAATATACTTATGCCTTTTACATTTTGTAAATATTATTCTCAGAAAGACAGAGTCTGTGATAGTAAATCTTCATTCGGCTTCTTCAAAGAAGCTGCTGAGTAATATTTGCTGCAACAACTTTGCAGGTAAAAGTAAGTCACGATGATCGCTGCTACTGAACTGATCGTAAATCTGGAAGAGTATGTGCAAACGTCCTGATAGAGTTTTCACTTCCAATGAGCAGTGTGGATGCTACAAAAAGGAATCTTTTTCAGGGCTGGTCTGCACAGTGGGCGAAATATCAAGCTGGCCAGGTGCAACCAATGACATTCCTGGCCAGGAAAGTTTGGATCACAAACTTTAATCATGGTTGAACCTCTTTTTTCATGGATAATCATTGTTTGAAATAACATTCTTCTCATTCAGGTAAACTTTACTGTTGATATACGAGCAATGCATGACGAGGGAAGGGAAGCCATAGAATCAGAATTTTCGTGCCAGGTTAATCAAATATGTGATGTTCGGATGGTCAATTGTACCATCGAGCGTAAGGTGTACAACTTGATCTTGTTTCATTTTCTTCATGCTCGACATTCGATATATTGACACAATTATCATATCAGCATACTGCAGATGCAGCACACTGCGACTCGGAGTTAAGTCTGCAGTTCAAACTTCAGCTGTGACGAAATGCCAACCAAAATCCAAGGTGAAGTGCCTGTGTTGATGAGTGGGGCTGGACATGATGCCATGGCAATATCTCAGTTGACCAAGGTTATTATCTCATGCTCTTCGGATCAATCGATCTTGATCCCAATTTTACTGATTCATGGCAGCATAAAACCAGGTTGGTATGCTCTTTGTTCGCTGTCGAGGAGGGATCAGCCATTCTCCTGATGAACTTGTGTTGGATGATGATGTTGGGCGGCTGGTCTTGCCCTCCTCCATTTCCTTGACCAACATGTAACGCGTAACTAGATGAGCTCATGAAGGTTTCTGTTCTTGCTCATGCTGTCCTGTATCAATGTATGTAACTGTTCCATCGGCTAATAAAGGTTTAGGCAATCCAACCATTAAGAGAACATCACTCGATTTTTTTTTTTTTTTTATGTCGAGTCTTTCTCTCTTAGTAAACAAAGGATCTGACTTGAGCATCGTAGGACACCTTTTCCAGACTACCTTAAGCAGCACCATCCATATTTTTTTGATTTGTTCATAACCTAAACTAACTATAAACCGACAAACTACATTCTGAAGTCCAATGATCGTTGATTTATAGGGATCTGACGACATCACGATAATGTCTTTGTCATACATTTTTCTTTGTTCATCAGAAATAACTGTGTTTCAAAACTTATGAATGGTAGAAAATATTTGGGATGATCGGTGCCCGAAATGTGAAACGACTCAGGAGTAGAATCATTTACAACATGGATACAAATGGAGATAAATGAATTTGTTGGCAAACTAATTAGCAGCATAGTTGGATTGTTCTGAAACGATATTAAGGAGACAATAGAATGGAGGAAATGATCGCTGAAATGAGTTAAAGGAACGGTTGGCAAGCCCAGAAATAGGATTACAATGATGACTATGAATAATGTTAAGCCTTCAGGAGGTGCATCTTTTGCATTCTAGCCATGGAAAATGCATGCTGAAACTATATGAAGCAGTACGTCGAAACAATCTTATTGATACTATAATCTCTGCCGAGCATTAACCTTTGGCACCATATCGCAAATTCATGTACCAAACACAGTTACTACGATACTCTGTTTCAGGACCTCCAACAGGACACCAAAAGCAGAACCAACTGAAACGAAAGCAACAGATGCATGAGGATAACTAAGAACAGTGGCAAATCCAACTGTGCTCCCATCACAACCTCAAGCGGCACTCAAGGTGTTGGCAATGTCGATGACGAATCGATACCGGACATCACCCTTGGCAAGCCTCTCCATGGCCTTGTTCACGTAATCAATTCTGACGAGTTCAATGTCTGCAGACACGTTGTGCTTTGCAGCGAAGTCTATCATCTCCTGTGTGTCCTTCATCCCTCCGATGCAGCTCCCAGCCAGAATCCGCCCACCTGTTGCCACAGCCAGGCGATGGTGATAGGTGATATGCGTACAAGAGAGTGCGGTGTAATGGCGTCTTCTTACCCATGATCAAGGGGAAAACATGCAGCTGCAGTGGCTTGTCAGGTGCACCCACCATTATCATCTTCCCATGGGGTTTCAGAAGATTGATCAATGGTGCGATGTCATGGACTGCCGAAACAGTGTTTATGATGCCATCCATGGTTCCCATTGCAGCCTTGCAATCATATCGAGGAGGAGAAAACAAGTCAATCGGACTGCAAGTATAGCAAAGAGATCCGACTTGTCTTCGAGCTACGTACGTACCTTCAATTGCTCGGAGTCTCTGCTAACCAGGAATGCATCTGCCCCCAGACTCTCCGTGGCTTCCTTCTGCTTGCTCGGGGATGTGCTGATCACCGTCACCTTCATCCCAAAGGCCTTGCCGAACTTGACGGCCACATGGCCGAGCCCCCCGAGGCCGACGACGCCGAGGTGCTTCCCTGGCTCGCTGAGGCCGAAGTACTTCATGGGGGTATACACCGTGATGCCGGCGCACAACAGCGGGGCGCCCTTGTCGAGCGGCATGCTCTCCGGGAACCGAACCACGAAGTGTTCCTTGACGACGATCGTGTCGGAGTAGCCGCCGTAGGTCATCGTCCCGTCGGTGTCGATGGAGTTGTAGGTGAGGATGAGTCCACCGCAGTAGTTCTCCGACTCCTGCTTGCAGCTGGGGCAGGAACGGCAGGAGTTCACCATGCAACCCACGCCGGCCTTGTCTCCTACCTTGAACTTGTTCACCTTGCTGCCCACATCAGTTATGACACCCACAATCTCATGCCTGCAGAGGACAAATCTGGGGTGACTACTTCACCGTACAGAGAGACTGGTGGTGTTCAGAGACAACACGCATACCCTGGAAGAACTGGGTAGACAGTGTTGGCCCATTCGTTCTTGATGCAGTGAAGGTCGGAGTGACAGATCCCACAGTAAAGAATTCTTAAGGTAACATCAGTGTCACCATTTTTCCTGTCAACCAGTGAAGCATATTAGAGATGAAGAAGATGATGAAGGTGCAATGAGTGATCTCCTTAGCACTAATCACCCACACAAATCAACATAACATTACTTGAGGATTTAAATAGTTGCACCTCATTGAAGATTGACAAAGAAAGGCCTTTAAACCTTGAAAAGGAAAGATGATGGTCTGATATGTTCAATATTTATATGAGGAAATAAGATAATTTTACTATAGAATTCACATAGAAGCACCTTATGGAAGATTGATAAAGAAATACCTTTAAACCTTGAAAAGGTGTTGGTCTGATATGTTCAATACTTATATGAAGAAATAAGATAACATTACTTTAGAATTCAAATAGAAGCACCTTATGGAAGACTGACAAAGAAAGATCAAAATTCAAATAGAAGCACCTTACGGAAGACCTACAAAGAAAGACCATTAATTCTTGAAAAGGAAAGATGTTGGTCTGATAGGTTCAAAGTTCATATAAGGAAATAAGATTACTTCAGAATTCAAATAGAAGCACCTTATGGACGATCGATAAAGAAAGACATTCAAACCTTGAAAAGGGAAGATGTTGGTCTGATATGTTCAAGGTTTATATGAGGACATAAGATAACATTACTTCAGAAATCAAATAGATGCATCTTATGGAAGACTGATAAAGAAAGACCTTTAAACCCTGAAAAGAAAAGATATTAGTCTCATATGTTTAATTAAGGGAGCCTTCAGATTCAACGACCATATATTTTCGTATAAAAACAAATTCTGAATAATATTAAAAAGTACTTAATCCAGATCTTGATCTATTGTTATTTAATTTTGATTTTAAGCATTAAATTTTGTATATAATAATTATATAATTATAGTTTTTATGCTTACATGATAATGATGATCTAATAAAAAATATTTTTTTTCTTTCTTAATTGATAATCATTCAAATATATATTTATCTTACTTCATTGAAGTAAGCGAAGGAGATATATGTAGCTGGTCAATGACATACTTTATCTTTAATCCTTCATTCCTTCGTGGAAACATACTTTTGCTGATAGATTACAAAACATAAGTTCATTCTGTTATATAACTAATAGTAACATAAAATAATAAATTTCCAAATGCTTCGTAAAGTGAAATTACGACGACCGAAACAAATATATACATAAACATAGCAAAAAAAAAAAACAATATAATAAATATGTAATTGTTGCCTTCGTGAGAATTTGAAGGGCGAGAGAACGCCGGTGGAATCCCTGGCGGCCCATCCGAACGCCTTTCGAGGGTGCTCGTCTTCCGGCGATGCCTTCTTCCCTTTCTCCATCGCTGCTGCTGCCTCAGAAAGAAGAAGAGAGGAGAGGGAGAACGCGCGCGAGTAATGCAGGAGAGAGAGAGAGAGAGAGAGAGTTCCAAGTGTCTGTTGCTGGGTGGTTCGATGTGCTGGTAGTCGGGTCTTTATATAGACGGAGTAATTGGGCAGAGATCGAGAATGCGTGCCTGAGATCCGAACCCCGAGTTTTCCGATGGCTTGACGTAACCGATGACGCTACGAACTCGTCAGCGGTGCCGTTCCCTACGCCTCACTCTCGTCGTCATCCTCGAAGCGTGGCGAGAGAATCCACGTCGTCCACGGCATCGGCATAGTGGAAATACACGTGCAGTAGAATGCACATCCATCATCATCAGCCTGGAGGTCAGCCACAACATTAAGGATCGATCAGAAACTTACGGTACATTGCGAAGCTCTTGATGTTTTGTTTGTATTCTGGATTAGATTAAAGCGGCTAATCTAAGTTGCCACCCATGGACCGTGGTAGAACTGTAGAAGTCGGCTTGCTCCGTGCTTCTACGTGGCCCAGCAGGATCCATGCACTAGTCCTGTGTATGAGACCGTGTTGTTGGTACTGTGGTTTACGTGACAAGCGACGGTCCACCGACCACTCCTATCACCACAGCCTTATTATCAACTCCACTTGCTTTTCGCAAACGGCTACCGAGTGTTCACAACTAAAAGGATGTGTATTTACTATATATACACTGTGCATGTTCATACCGTGCACAAAAATGGATCCAAATGAGAATCCAAGACTGCTGGGAAGTCAAAATAGGATTCGACCCCTGGCGCAACCTTTTCCAGCGGGTAACCCTCGTGCAGCAGCATCCTGTTCCTTTGCTTCAGTCCCTGGTCAACAAAGGACGCTAATCACAATGGTAGAGAACCGAGTGGTCCTCAACAGCCCACATTTCAAACCGACCGTTGACTTTGATGCAGATCGCCTACAGTGATCTGATGAAATCATCTGGTGCCTATCAACATGGCACTACAGAATGTTCAGGAAAAGTGTAGTATGATCTAAAAGAAGCATGGCCACAGCTTCAGACTTTGAAGAATGATCCCATAAAATTTATATATAACAACTAAAAAAAATCATAAAATTAGAATTTCATGAGGTCCACAAAAGTGATACACAAATTGATAAGTATTTTATGTTGATAAGGAATTTATCAATAATTATGTACATTCATCACATGTCATCCAGGTCATCCTTATTCGTTTATAAAATTGAGAAACACAAGTTTCCTTTTTACTTATTATCGTGTAAAAAATAATCACAAACTTTCTTCTCTATCTCAGGGTCATATTAAAGCTACCTCGAATCTACCATGTATCTACTTCGGAACTACCTCGGAGCATATGGGTCTAGACTATGTCGGACTAACCAGGACATCAATAATTTTTTTTTCTAATAATTTGGTGCTAGAAGGAGGACCCGATATCGTAAGAACGTCCACCGACCAATTGATAGCAGATAAGATTCCCTCAATAGAGTAGAGAGATATCCTCATATAGTTGAGAAAATCATATCTGCTATCACTAACCCTCTCAACAACGAACACTTTAGCAAGGAAACCTCACCTCTAACCCACAACTTTTTTACTTAGGGGCAATTGTCATCCTTCCCACATATGGATATGTCCACCTTGGCATAGTTACCAAAGAGGTTTTAGCGTTTGTTCAATGACCCAACCCTCTCACCCTTAGGGACAAACTCAAGCCACTTGCTTATTCCTACCAAAGTATTCCTGAACCTCGCCCATCAACTGCAAACACTTACGAGCATATTAAATTGTTACCCCGCTCCTTCCTCAACTAACCCAACAAATGGTATCACTATCTTAACCATGGGCAATGGCTTAATGTTAGTGTTAGGATCAAGAGCGGCACTAAGAGAGGGGGGGTGGGGGTGTTG